CACAACTCACACAAGAGCAGCAGAATTTTGCATTTGCACACAAGTAGTTGGGCGGGGAAATTCAAGGGACAAAAATCCCTGTGCAGGAAACACTTCCTTCTCCTTTCTCATAAACTGCAGATTGCTACTTGCACTGAGGGCTGAACCTCTCCCTGCCCTGCCCTCACAACCGTTTCAACCATTTGGAGCATAAATAATTGAAGAGAGACATCAGCAGCAGCAGGAGGCAGATTCTGTGCCCAGCTCTCCAGCAGTTCCGTTTCACCACCGAGTCCGTGTGCTGACCTCTTTTTACAGTCCTTTTCCAAGATGCCGAGCAAAGAAGGGGGGGGAAGAAGTGCCCAGGACGGGCTTCCCTGCCCAGCCCAGAACAGCCCATGTGTGTGACCCAGGCCTCCTCAGCAGGGCTCTTTGCACAGATGCACAGCAGAGAGACAGGCAGGGCTGGACCTCCTGACCTGCTGCAGTCCCACCCAGATCCCGACACTGTTCTGAGCACTGAGCCCTTGCCCAGCTTGGAGGGCAAAGGACCAACACTGTCTTTTGAAACGGGCCAAAAAAATTAATGAACCACACAAGGCTTTTCACAGAGAAGTAAAAGCTTCCACTCCTATGCTACGTCTGACCAAGATACACTGAGACATCAGAAAAACAAGCAGGGATGTGCTGCTTTAAGAGTGTTTCCAGTATTTACGTTCAGATTCTGTGACTAATTTGCTACTCCCTTTCTGGCAGGCGCATCTTGGTAGCCAGGATGCAAGACCAGGGTTGGAAAACACAGAGGTTGGAAGAGACATTAATGTGGGGAGTCAAAGAGAAACAGCCTCACCCAGGGCGAGCTATGACACAGTGAGAGACCATCCAGCTGGGGTGAAATATCCCACTAGACAGCTGCAAATATAATTTTGCTTTCTCTGAGGAAAAAAAAAAAAAAAACCACAACAAACAAAACCCACGTCATCACAACCACCCTGAATTGATACAGAGCATGACAGGCAGCACAGGAACACAGACCCATACTGCTGCTCCCAGTGACTCAAAGAATCACAATTATAAATAATAGCTTTAACTCCGAGAAAATCAGAACAGTCAGTGATACTTTGTTCTGCTTTCAGGTTTCACGGTTTTCCACACAAGCAAGAACTTTCCTCTAGTTTCAAGACTACAAGAACTGTTATTGTAAGGAAAACAGCAAAAGACAGGTGTCTTTCTTAGGTGAAAGACAGCAATGACTCAAAGTTACAGGGCAGGTACAAATCCTCTAAGCTGCTCCAGCAGAGACTTTGGAGAGGTTCTGTAAAGACCAAGTTCTGCTTCTGGTCTTTCCTGTACTGCTGCTGTCCAAGGGAACCTCGCACTCACACGGTACTTCTCATCACACACGTCACAAAACTCAGCTAATCCATCTTCCCCACATGGGCACCTACACAGAAAGCGAGGGTCACAGCAGGTCATCCTCAGCCAGCTCCAGACAGGAATCACCCCCTCTCCCTCCTCCTGATCTGCTCCTGTCACCAGCAGCCTCCTGCACGGGACTTGTCCTCAGTGTCCAAGGGCAGTACCTACAGCCCCCAGGTGCCCCTGCACTATGCACAGTGCAGCTTTTCAGAGGATAAACTTTCTTGTAAGCCCACCTGGGATTATTTTTCCGTAAGCAGAGAAAAGGAGAAGGCAGTTCAGCACACACTAACAGGGAACTGGGGGATTTCCATCAGCCCATGTTCTCTGGTAAGCAAGGGGTTGAAGGTTGACCTTAAAGTGATGCACTGTGTTGGCACAGTTGCTATTTTAGATAGAAGACATCTTTGCTGTTGCAATATCTACTGTTTCAAGAAAGATGGAAATCTCTGCTCTTTTTTTTTTATACAAAAAACCCAAAGGAGTCTGAATACAAGTTTTTAAGATATAAACCCCAGATTGTCAAAAACTGAAACACAAAAGTAATGGATTAAGTTCTCAGTGTCTCACAATGACTGGCACTAAAATCACTTCTCCAGTCAAACTACCTTTAGCACAGCATCTTCTCTATACACAGCACCCCATTTATATTTTTACTGACAAGGAAACCACTTCAAAATATGTTCAAGTAGGAAAAAAGAACCAAGCTCAATACAAAAGGCACAACCCTGTAATTTCAAACCCACTGAAAGAACTGGATCCACCAGATAGTCTCTTCTCCCACACCCAAACAACTTTGCAAATTGATGGGGTGGGGAGAGATCAACTTGGGAAGGAGAAGTTCCCATCCTCCTGATTTAAAAAGAAACAATTACTTCAAAGAACATTAGAGACATGGGCCTGAATGAGCAAGAGCCAGTTTCAGAGACAAGGCAAAGTAACACCCCAAACACACACACGCCAACAGCACGAGCTGGGAGGCATGTTCTGCAGGAGTGTGCCAGGACACTCCAGTTTAACTGGGTACTTGGGTGGTTTCACCTCTACTCCTCCCACAGCAACCTCGGGCTTTGGCAGAGCACCCACCCTCTCTGCACTTGCCCTGTTTGGTTCTCAGGTCAACAGTCCTGACAAATTGCAAGGTTTCCCTCGCACGGGGCCCACGCACCTGGGACATTTGTCACGGCTTCAACTGCCGACCCGGCCTCACCACGGGCACCCTCGCAGTGATGCAGGAACTGCTGGAGGCAAACCAGCCCTCTCCAGCCGAGGAGCCTGGTCCAGCAGGGAACTGCTGCAGAGCTTCACACCAGAGACTGCATCCCCCCAGCCCGGGCTCCTAAACCACAACCCCTGCCCCTGGAAAGCTGGATGCTCTGCACAGAGACCAGCAGCGAACTCCAGGGACTTCCACAGCACCTGCGTTCAGTGTCTAATTAATCAAATAAGAGGTTGGAAATCAGAGAGGTGGAGAATCTACCGTTATTTTTCCTTCATAAATGGTAGTAATTAGGAGCCCAACCTGCAAATCAGAGTCCCCCGGAGCCAGAGAATGTATCAGCCCTGACTACGCTGGGAAGGAGGATGAAGATACATTCTTTGACACCACACTGTTCCATTCTTTGGACTCAGTAAGTCCTGAACATTATTAAGACTTACCCAAATGCTACTCTGCTTACATGTGACTTATTGTACTGCTCTCTCAGAAACTCACTTTATTTTCCAACTATTCATAAAAAAAAACCCATACATTTTGAAAAATTGGTTCAGGCAAGAATCACAGCTTTAGTACATCTTTTTAATTGTTACCTGCTGCCAGATGTGAGCAGATTGGGGAAAAAAAAAAAAGGGCACAGGAAAAAAATCCTGCTCTTAAAGGATGCTAAATAAAGTTAAAATTAAAGTGAACATACAAACCCACAAATTAACAGATTGCTTTGCGTTCACAGCTCATTTTCCCTCCACCACCCACAAGTAACATGGTTGGTCCCAACCCATAATGAACTGTGCTCTGTCATGCAAGGCTGGCTCCACACTGAGCGGAAGATACAGGGACACACCTCTGCATCTGAGGGAAGCCCTCTCTGGCCCCAGCAGAACACTGCCCTGTCCTGCAGACACGGGCTCTTTGGGGCACAGACTCCAGCCCCTCTCGCCTATGCAGTGTGACCAGGGCCTTCAGGAGACACGACAGTACCTACAACAGACTCCTCTGATCTCTACCTCGCTTTTTGCCCTGGGGAATGAGCAGAACGGAGCCTTATACCTAACCCGCTTCCCTCGTCATTTAAAAACAACTGAACTAAAGAACAGCATGTTTCCAGTGGGTCACAAAGCTTCTCCCCAGTTCACAGCTCACTAAATGTTCTGCCATTTCAGAACGCGTTCTAGAGTGTTTTCTTCCAGAAATAAAGTAAGAATTAGCTGCAATACTCAGAAATAACTACAAAATACTAGCGAAACTTTAAGTAGCTTGGGAAAAATGCATCTGGTGATCCCATTATCCTATTACGCCTGGATTTACTTTGTTCTTCTCATCGCTGCCATCAGCAGCTCACAAAAATGCACAAGCATCTTTTCACAGTGCCCAAGTCTGCATTATACAGGGAAACATCACCTCTTGCCATGGCCAGGTGAATGCCCAAGTTGCTACAATGCTAGTTTGCTTTTCTGTGGCCCAGAAAGGCTGTGCAGTACCAGGGTCTCAGCAGGCAAGGTGTTGGCTTCAAGTGGAATTGGAGCCTCAGAGAAAGACTGGCCCCAAAGGCAAGCGTAAGCCAGGCTGAGAAGGGGTGGGCTACTCCCCCTGCTGTGTTACCATCGCCTCCATCCCCACCCTTGTGAGACAGAAAAGCTCTTCCATCATCACAAAAAACCCTCTTGTCTACATCACGATGATGGGTGCTAAGGAACACACACGACTCTGATAAGCCCTTACCTAGGCATTCAAGGTCTGCAGAAAAGGATTCCTCTTCCCGTCAAATATTCTAAATCCCTCCAAAGACCAAACAGAGAACAAAAAACCTGTCGATGTCATCTGATTGCATCACTCCTCCTCTCTCTCCGGGACTCAGAGGCATGTCTCCAAATAGCTATAAGCCTTGCAAAGCAAAACAGATGTTCCCTAACACCCAAATCCTGGCCGCCTGCGAGGTGCCGATCGGCTGCAGCACCGAGGAGCGGCAGGACTGGGGTTGTGTCTGCGCATCTGTGCTGCGGAGGGGAGAGGGATGGGAGACGTGCTCCCAATACCGAAACGCCTCTGCCAGCCCTGCGCTGCCTTTCTCCATCCGAACCCGCTCGACACACCCAAAGGCAGCGACAAAAAAGAAACCCAACCCAGGGATGCGGCAGGCAAAGCGCCTATTTCCCGGCCGAGCCCAGGTAGCTGCCGCATCCCGCGGAGAGCCCCGGCCGGAGCCCACGTACCTGCTTCTCCTCTGCGGGGCGGCGCGGCCAGGGCGGGATGCCCGCGGCGGGGACCGGCGGCGGGGAGAGAAAAGGAGACACAGTGAGGCGGGGGGGACACTCCGGGCCGCGGGGCGGAGCGGCCGCGCGTTCCCCCCGCCTCACCTGCGCTGCCCGGCTTGCTCTTGAACCGCATGCCCGTGCTCATGGTGCCTCGGCCGAGCCGCGTGTGCGAGCGCGGCTGCGGGGCCGGGCGAGGCTCTGAGAGCGCCGGGGCCGCCCCGCGCCGACAGCGAGGGGCCGGGGCCGCCCGGGGCCGCCAATCCCCGCAGCTGAGCCCGCCCCGCGCCCGCCCCCGGCCCCGCCGGGCACGGCGGCACCGAGCACCGGAGCGACCCCAGCCCGGCCCCGCCGGGCACGGCGGCACCGAGCACCGGAGCGACCCCAGCCCGGCCCCGCCGGGCACGGCGGCACCGAGCACCGGAGCGACCCCGGCCCGGAGCACCGGAGCGACCCCAGCCCAGCCTCGCCGGGCCACGGAGCGACCCCCGCCCAGCCCCGCCGGTGACAGCGGGCCGGGGGCTGCCGGGGCCGGGCAGGGTAACCCACCGGCCGGAGCATCGGCGCGACCCCCCAGCCCCTCGGTGTGCCAGCCCGGCCACCCGGAGCGACCCCCCAGCCCCTCGGTGTGCCAGCCGGGCCACCCGGAGCGACCCCCCAGCCCCTCGGTGTGCCAGCCGGGCCACCCGGAGCGACCCCCCAGCCCCTCGGTGTGCCAGCCCGGCCACCCGGAGCGACCCCCCAGCCCCTCGGTGTGCCAGCCCGGCCACCCGGAGCGACCCCCAGCCCCGCCGTGTGCCGGCGCAGCCCCGGGCCCGGAGGATGTGCAGCACTAATGCCCCTGCAGCTGCCCCTGCACGTGGACACCTCCACGAAGGTTTAAACACTACAAAAGGCAGCACTGCCTGCTCTCGACACAAACACAACAGCCAGAAGAGGGAATACAGCGTTAAAAAATAAGTAAATACAAAACCCAAACACAAATTGAATAAATAGGAAATGTGTTTCCAGATTTAGCGTCTCGAAATACAGTGGGAAGCCCTGAATCATACTGCAACTATGCTGGGTGAAGTAGGAACGTGTGCTCTATTTCCATTAAAAAATTTTTAGAGAGGTTAGATGGAAAGTTATTTTAGGTAAAAGCTGTCAGTATAACTCTTAAAGAAAAAGCAAGAGAGAACTCAAATGAAAAGCAGTTGCACATGATTTGAGAACAGCTCATAGAAACCTCAACAGCAGAGGAGACAAGTGGGATCCTTCCCCTGCCTTCCACGGCTGCAGGGAGGGGTCATGTCTTCCACATTCCAAGAACAGGTAAATTATCAGACATGAAACTCTTCTCAAAATTATCAGACATGAAACTCTTCTGAATACAGGACAGGATAAGCTTGGCAGGGTGATGGCTGCACAAGTGCAAGGGCACTGCCCTGCCTTGGAACAAATCTGACACCAATGCCACAATACTAACTTTTCAAATCCTTGCAGTCATCAGAGCATTTCTCTTGGCATTTCTTCCACCATCTCATTCAAAACATCCCTGGTATCTAAACAAGGAGACACTTCCAAGACCAGAGATTGGTAATCCCAGGGCCATACATTTTAAAACCCCATTAGCTCATTCTGAGTTCACTTTTAGCCTTTGATTCAATGTATCAGAAAAAAAATAAATCAGGTAATTGTTAGCAAATTTTCTTGTTTTTAAACACTAGAGAGCCACAGACCATTAGAGACCCTGCACCACCATTAAGGGCACCAACGAGGCAATCAGCCTTTCCTGAGTTGTTTTACAGTCTGCTTCAGTGTTCCAAAGCTAATGAAGACAAAGGACCACAGTCAACTCTCCTCACAGTCATTAAAATAGTTACATATGGGGACTTTGTCCCAGTGCTGGAAAATGTCAACCTGGAGAAGGCCGGGGTGGAATTCCAAGGAAGCAACTCGTCTTCCATGGCCCTGGCACTGCTGACACCGATGGGAGTGGAAATGCAAGGGCAGAAAAGTAAGTTCTAGGCAGTGTCCTCTATCCAGAGATCTTCATACGAGCAGAGACTTGGCTTAACAACTACACATTCCCCCAGTAAGCTGTGAAGTATTTTAACAAAACCACGTTTCAACGTAACTGAAAATTAACATCAGACAACATCAAAGAAGTAGTACAAAGCATATGGGATCAGTAGTACTGCAACCCTTCTGGGACAATTATTAAAATAGATCTCAGATTTTGAGCCAAAATGCTCCATCTGGAATCCACAAGCCCAAAGAAGGTAAAGACTACCAACTCATAATCAGTATCCACTAGTGAAAATCTGTTCACTAAGGCTTCCCACATGAGAATTGTGACAGTGACAATTGTGACAGTGACATTAGGCGCCTTGCTTTGAAAAGAGGGAGGGAAAACCCCTCTGTTTTTTAATAAAATTAAAGACTGGATGCTTTTGAAAGTCTGCTTGCCCATTGTCCTAGCTGGCTTTGAAAGGTGAAGCTTTCATATATTCCCTTTGCTCAGAGAGCCAATCCAGCACACAACCAAGGTCTGGAACTGAACTCTGGGTTTCTCAGGAAGGGTGTGGCTGCCCTGGCTTTCACAAGCACAAACGGACAGCCTATCATTTTAACAAGGTTGCAAAATATGGTGCAAAATTCTGGAAGAGAAACATTAAGAAAGGTGCAAATAACAGCAAACTACCAATGAGATGCAGTTTTCCATTAAATGTCTCCCCTTGGCCCTCTGGACAGACACACTTAAAATTCAAATCTTCATAAAACCTGAAGAGACCGTGTGAATGCAGATCTGTCACTCCATTTCTTCTGCCGCCTTCATGATAGCAGCCACGGAGGTAACAAGGAAATGTCCTTTTTATGCAGTTCAACTCCAAACAAGCCAAATCTGCATCCCTGTGATGCCAATCATTTGTGAATCCTATCCTGAATAAACACTCATTGCTAGACAGCAAAATTAAGGCCAATCATTACATGAGAGACACCCCAATTTAGTACAGAAGACAAAGTGTCTCAATCCCCTATTTGCAAAGTAATTTACACTTATGCATATAAAAAACACATAAGACTACAAAAGCATGCAGAAGGGAGCTATACACTCAGTAATGACAGAAAGGAAACACTTTATAAATTCATGAATGTTGCTAAGATGTGCAAACAGATTTTCCAAGGTATTTACCCACCTAAAAGACATCAGTAGGTGCCTAATGAACTTTGGGAAAAAAGTGGATGCAAAGCCTTGCTACTTAACTTCCAGGTAAAACACTTTTATAGTTATTTCAAAATGAAATCAAAGCAGTTTGTATGCAAAGAAATTTTAGAAAATGCCTTCGTTCTCCAGAGTAAACATCACCATTCCTTTGAATACACACTATCCACAACACCATTGCAGCATTTCACAGATTAGCTTGGAAAAGCCAAAATACAATAAAAGAAGAAAAACAAACCCCTCCAAAAAAAAAAAAAATCAACATTTTCCACATTCATACAATTTATTACAAAACTTGAATGAAAATTAGTGTTATGGAATATAAAAAGTTGAGTACATGCCATCGCTCAGCTGACAGATAGAAATGCCTGTGACAAGTTCTTGCCATCGACACTTGAGAGCCGCAGCCAAGCCCTCAGAGCACTCACGAGTCGTGGGTGTGTGCAGTGTCTACGGGACGTTAAGGCACGACAATTGACAAAAGTCAGCTTTTCTGTACCACTGGTGAATCATCAGCTTTGCACATTTTCTCATACAATCACACAAATGCAAATCACCAGAGATGAAGCTTCAAAAGCAACAAAAGCAGAGAGAAAGTTCTGAAAAACCGATATGATACATAATGCTTTAAAATGGCAGGTGAAAGTTATGATACTGTGCAAACACACATTTTACTGTAAACAGGCCACAAAGTCTTAGTATTAACCACGAAACTGCTCAGAACAACCTATCAGATACACGATTAACTCCTGAAACGCACCACAATGACTAGGCCATACAGAGTACTCTTACCAGCTTCTGAGAAAGAGATACAGGAAGGATAATAAACCCACATTTATAAGTATGAACACAGCATTATCAAAAGAATCCAAAGAAGATACACTACAAGTTGGATAACATTGGATATATAAAACAAGCCTTTTACAACACGTTCTTCAGCCTTTGTTTGTTTTAGCAGGTCTTGGTCTGTGGCATCCAGCTTTTGCACTGGAACGGTCCCACTCGGGCAAAGAAAACAGAGCACCCATCCACTTAGAGAACCGTCTGCTGCTGGGAACAAAATGGAAAACAAAGAGCATTAGAAAGGACAAACTCCCAGCACTGTCAGAGCAGTTGGGGCAGCCTGAGCCCCTCCAAGCAAAGCAGCATAATCCAGGGAACGAGGAGCTTCAGTGCCTGCATCACAGGGACCTGCCTTAGAATGAGATCAGCTGAGCAGTTTGGCCCCAGATGTTTACCACAAATGTCTAATAAGAGCTAATAAATGAGAACTTATTTTTAGCTACATACTTTCTTAAGCACCCACACCCCCTCTCTGCCTGCAAGAACACTAGAAGTGAGTTACAGCTCAGCCCCAAAGTGCTGCACACCAGGCACCCAGCTCGCCTGTTCTGTCAGGCATTACTGCTGCTGGAGCAAACCAGCCACCCAGACAAACAGGGCTGGAAGGAAGCAGCGAGTCTGATGTCATGCACCAACACTCCTATGACACTGCTTAGGTAAAACAGCAAAGAAGATTTTTTCCAAGCATTTGTACAGCAGTATTCCTAAGAGGCAGAGTGCAAGGTGCCACTGCACATATTCACCAGAACTGGGAATGCCACTGCAGCCACCACGCTGGGGATTTCATCTGTCCCAAGGCACCCACACACTACTGAAAGCAAATAAATGTAATTCCATTCACCCCTGACAACAACAATTTCTATCAGAAGTCTGTTCTCTAAAGGAGACAAAACCTTGTGCCAGCCCGTCAGTGCAGGGTTTGCTGCACAACCCCCCAGGCAGAGGAGCTGCAGAACGATGGTGCCCCCCTGGCCAAGTCTCTAAGCCAGAGGAGCTGCAGAACGATGGTGCCCCCCTGGCCAAGTCTCTAAGCCAGAGGAGCTGCAGAACGATGGTGCCCCCCTGGCCAAGTCTCTAAGCCAGAGGAGCTGCAGAACGATGGTGCCCCCCTGGCCAAGTTTCTAAGCCAGAGGAGCTGCAGAACGATGGTGCCCCCCTGGCCAAGTCTCTAAGCCAGAGGGGCATCCACCGGCAGTGCCACGCAGTTGTTCCAAATACTACAAATTTGCCCAAGCTTCACATTCTCCGGGTTCTCAATTTTAGCTGCCAAAAACTGCAGCATGATCTCTACTTCCTCAAATGACATTCTCATCAGATCAGTTCAGCATTCAGCAGCATCGTTTGAAGGCTGGTTGCTATGACAATGCTTTTGTGTTCTTCTGTTGGATGATGTCAATTCATTGGTAGAAAGAAGGGGCTGTTTAGTGTCTTTAGCACTGTTCTTATCAAGAAGCAGTGTTAGCAACCTCAGGAGGCTTTAAAATAGTTGTGGAAATTACAAGCTATACTAAAAGAATTTTCAATATCCGACAGATATTTTAAGTGCAAGATGCTTGGGTTTCTTTTTTATCTGAGCATATTTCCCTAATTGCAGCTACATTTCCAGATGGCTGTATTAGCTTTCCATAGCCTGACTACTGTCACTGGCTTGTCCCAGGATGATCTTGAGGTTGAGTGAAGACAACAAACCAGATTTGTAGTAACAAATAACAAGAGGAAAACAGATTGCAAAGAGGGTTTGCAGAAACAGAGAGGGAAAGGGAAGAAATATCCTCCAACAACCAC